TGGAGAAACTGTCTCTGATGGTAAGAGAGAATCTCCAGGCGGCCCAGAGGAGACAGAAGAGGTGGTACGATCGGGGTGCCCGGCAGCGGGTCTTCCAGGTTGGGCAGAAAGTATTGGTGCTCAAGCCTGTGAAGGCGAACAAGATGCAAGCGTCTTGGCAGGGCCCGTATAAAGTAGTAGCTCAGGTATGTAATACTACCTACCTTATAGCCAGCTGTGCAGATGAAAGGATTCAGCGATCCTTTCATGTGAACATGCTGAAAGAGTATCAGGAGAGACCAGAGGATGTCGCTGCAGTATGCGCTCCGGCTGCAGATGACCCTGTTAATCTACCCCTTCCCGATTTGCTAGAAAGGGACCCCCAGACTGACCTTACAAACCTTGTACCGTTAGGGAACAGGTTAAATCCCACAGAAAAGGTACAGGCAAAGCAGCTGCTGTGGGAGAAGCAGGCGACGTTCTCCCAGGAGCCGGGCTACACTACCCTAGCTGTACATAAGGTAGAGACCCCTGGACAGCCCCCCTATCGTATCCCTGAAGCAGTCCGAGAAGGAATGCGGAAGGAGATACAGGAGATGACCCAGCTTGGGGTCATCGAACACTCCGACAGCCCTTGGGCCTCGTCTGTACTTCTGGTACCAAAGAAAGATGGAACCACCCGGTTCTGTGTGGACTACAGGCGACTCAACGAGCAGACCACCACTGACGCCTACCCGATGCACCGGGTAGACGAATTGTTAGACCGTATTGCCAGGGGGTGCTATCTGACCGCCATAGACCTATGTAAAGGCTAATGGCAGATCCCCCTGGCTGAGTATGCAATCCCCAAGTCGGCATTCATCACCCCGTTTGGCCTGTACCAATTTAAGGCCATGCCCTTTGGCATGAAGAATTCCCCGGCTACCTTCCAGCGGAGGGTGGATAGGCTCCTCGATGGCTTCCAGGAATTTGTGCATACCTGGATGACATTGCGATCTACAGTGGGTCCTGGGAGGAACACCTGGTACATGTGGGGGTAGTGCTGGATAAGATTCAGGCCACAGGCCTGACATTGAAGCCTGAGAAGTGCCATCTAGGTATGGCTGAAGTACAGTACCTGGGTCACAGAGTGGGGTGTGGGAGCCAGAGACCAGAGCCAGCCAAGGTAGAGACAGCGGCTAAATGGCCCACAACTACCACTAAGACCCAGGTGTTAGCCTTCTTGAGGACGGCAGAGTACTACAGACGTTTTGTCCCTGACTACAGTACTGTCGCCAAGCCCCTGACTGACCTGACGAAAAAGAATTTGCCGAAGCAGGTCCTGTGGTCTACAACTTGTGAAGCCATGTTTCAAGCACTGAAGCAGGCTCTTGTGAATGCCCCTGTCCTGGCTGCCCCAGTCCATAACAATTATGCGGCAGTGGAGAAAGAATGTTTGGCCTTGGTCTGGGCATTAAAGAAGTTGAGCCCCTATTTACACGGACAGGAATTTTCCCTTGTGACAGACCACAATCCCCTTGTCTGGCTCAATGGTAGACTGCTGCGGTGGAGTTTAGCCTTACAACCGTATAACTTCACCATCAGCTACCGACCCGCTAAGCAGAAGGGGAATGCGGATGGATTGTCCCGGCAAACCGACATCCCTACCACCTCCTAGTCCGGTCATCCCCAAGTTGACCCGCCAAAGGGTCAAGCCGGGTCTGCCGGAGTGTCCCACAAGGAGGGAGCCGTGTGACAGATCCATCTGTATGACTGGTGTGGCTGATTCATCTAGTTTGCCTCCCTTCGCGGAATTGCCTGTCCGTATGCCCCTATTCGTCTTTTCGGACTTATACCGAATGAAACTACCGAACGGACGGCCACCCAGAAGAGAAGTGTGCTGCTGGTTAACCTCTTGGGCCCCAATTAGAACGTTGTGGTTAACCGCAGACACCCCTTAATTATAACCGAATGCAGGGTGGTCGGCGTTCGTATGCCGACCACGAGGCGACTGCCATTTTAAAACACGCAAAAGACCAGGAATATGCACTCAGATCCAGGCTATCTGGGGATACGTTGCACGAATATAATATGTTCAGTATTTGTACAATTACTTATTTTTATGTATTGTTAATGTTTAATTTAAAATGGCGATTTGCCTCAGTCCTGGGAGATAATTGAATTACTTCTCAATTATCTCCAGGGCAGAGGGGAGGAAGCCAGAATGCATTGTGGGAATATTCTGTGACTGTATGTCCTAAACTTATACATGTCTGTCCGTGGTTACAGTCTCCCATTTGGTCCCCTAGGGGAGTGTCCACCAAGTGGGAGACCTGCATAAATACGGGCGGGTAGCCCACAGTAAAGCCAGTTCTTGTTTTACCCGAAAATGCGGAGCTTGGTCTCGTTATTGGGGGGGGGTTTACTACACACGGTTAGCGACTGATTGCTGGAAACATAAGCCGCTTGGAGATTAAATTTGTTCGGCGGTTAGCTGTGATTCGTGGATTTATTGCGTTTGAGGTCTACACGAATTGAGCCTGTATTACTAAAGAGGGGAAGCTCAACTAAACGGCGTTTTCACTCCTCTGTGCCAGTGGTGTCTTAAGCTCCAACATTCCGCAGCGTTTTACAATTATGAAATTAGCATATCTGGCAAGTAATTCGTATACTGAATATAACAGAGACAAGAGGTACAGAAGGCCCTGCTCGAATGTGCTTACTGTCGGAGAGGGAGGCAAGGGAACCAAAGAGAGCGAGCTTGGCTATATAGGAGAGCCGAGCTTGGCTACATAGAGAGGGGAGAGGGGTGAGAGGGGGGGGGAGAGGGGGGGAGAGAGGGGTGAGAGAGGTGTATAGAGGGGGAGAGAGGGGGGAGAGGGGGGGGGAGAGGGGGGGAGAGGGTGAGCAGAGGAGAGAGGGGAGAGAGGGGAGAGAGGAGAGAGGAGAGAGGGGAGAGAGGGGAGAGAGGGGAGAGAGGTGAGAGGGGGGAGAGAGGGAGAGAGGGGGGAGAGAGGGAGAGAGGGGGAGAGAGGGGGAGAGAGAGAGGGGGAGAGAGGGGGGAGAGGGAGAGAGAGGGGAGAGAGGAGAGGGAGAGGGGAGAGGAGAGGGGAGAGGGGGGAGAGGGGGAGAGGGAGAGGGGAGGGGAGAGGGAGAGGGAGAGAGGGGAGAGGGGAGAGGGGAGAGAGGGGAGAGGAGAGGGGAGAGGGAGAGGGGAGAGAGGGAGAGAGAGAGAGAGAGAGAGAGAGAGAGAGAGAGAGAGAGAGAGAGACACAGTTAACAGAAATCAGATCATCACGTGAAAGCATAACAATTTATAGAATATTTTCAGTGTTTTATACATTCCGTTTTACTCTAATTCTGGAATATGCTGTGTAATGTGCCTGTGATGCACTCATGACATAGGGAGCCACAATGCAGAGCACTTGCACAGAGCTTGCCTCTCTCCCCTCTTGTGTTTGATTAGGACAAATCTCTGGGCCCCGATGGAAAGCTGGCTTATCACGGTTTGATTTTTGGAAACGGTCAAATTTATAATCCAATCTAGGCAGAGTGCAGGGTATTTTTCTGCACAGTAACCTTTCCAGTTATGTTAGTTGTTTTGGTGCTTAAAAGCCCTTTAATTCTGACCCTTCATTCCATGTAAATCACTGTGAATGTTTAGATGAAGAGATATGATTACCTGTCCTTTGTAAACTAGACTGGGCACAAACCCACAGCAGGGAGGATACTGCAGGGACCAGAGTGTGGGAGTGCATTCCAGGAATACAGAGATTCCTTGATCCTAAGAACAGGACGTTTGTTTCCTATTTAAACCACTGTCATTGCATTCTGTGAAACACTGCGCAAATCACACACACACACACAGCGCAAATCACACACACACAGCGCAAATCACACACACACACACAGCGCAAATCACACACACACAGCAACCCACACCACCACACACAGCAAACTCCACACACAGCGAACCCACACACACAGCGAACACAGAACCCACACACAACACGAACACACACACAGCAAACCCACACACACACAGAACCCACACCACAGAACCACACACACACAGAACCCACACACACACAGAACCACACACACAGAAATCACACCACACACACACACAGCGCAACAAAGCGGTAATCACACACACAGCGCAACACAGCGCTAATCACACACACACAGCCAAACACTGCGCTGATCGCACACACCAACGCAGCACGCTACTCACAGACTGTGCACATATTGTGCATACAGAATGGTCAGTACCAAAAATACACTGGACTTCTCACAGACCGTGCACATATTGTGTATACAGAACGTTCAGAACATGGCACCTGGTAATTAGGTGGCAGTTGTGGGTGCATTACATGGGCTCCACACACTAAACACACTGTGCCTGTATTAGCGTATGGGAGCTTGATCCCTCTGAAATTTTCAAAGTAAAGTCACTTATCTGAAGAGTCAATACACATACAGGTATAATACAAGAATACAACTAAAAGGATATCAAACACTTTTTAAACATGCACACATCTCACATGTTGGCACAAGCCATTCTGATTTACAGTCTCTGAAACACAAGGAGCCTGGCATACTATCAGTCAGGTCCCCTCCAGATACTTGCTCAGGGGCCCACTGCCCTCTAACCTCCTATTCTATGTGTACCTGTCCAACCTTGCCACTCACATACAAGGCATCACCCCATGTTCCCAAGGGCCTACACCTTGATTTAGACACAAACATTAAAGGTATTAGAATGTTTCTCAGCCACACAGTGAAATGAATTATAATACAGTGCAGAAAAAAAAAAAAAAAAAAGGTGAATCAATATCTTCTCGGCATTACCAAGGTGCATTTGCATTCACACAATATACAAAAGTATATTACAGGGGATGCAGGCTTATTACAGATAGGGTAGGAATAAAATTAAAATCCTTCGGCCACTCAGACAGCAGCAAAGTCAGGAGATATAGCGGAGTCCAAATAATACAGCACGCTGAATAAAAAGCCTGGAATTCAACAATTACACAACAATTACAACTAATTAGCACCTCCACCCCAACATTGGAGGTATAACGTGACTCTCCTCCCCCCAGGGATGATCAGCCCCATCATCACACTGACAGCACAGGCAGACTAAGGGGTACACTAACAGCCTTGCAATTCCTGCTCAATATTGCGTTTAGCGTTAGCCAAAATGCAGCACACATGAATTCAACGAAAGGATTTCAAACACTGTTTTAACCCATTATCCACTCTGATTTACACCATGTCAGACTGGATTTCCCCATGAACCATCGGTCACCTGGCTTTGTTTAATGAATACATTATAAATGTATGAATCAATGTCCATTAAATAACCACAATCTAAAAAGTGTTTATCAACCCTTAACATTAATATTCAATGCAGGTCAATGGCCGCATGTATAGCTAAATCTCATACTATTGGTTGCACACGCCATTGTCACCTGGTAGCTTTATCATACCTGCAGCACGGGTTTTATCCCAGATCTCATTCAGACAGATATATGTCCAGTTTACCATGGCCGGACCAGCAAGTTCACACAATAAAGGAATATTTAACTCGTGCCCACTTTTTCTTACTCCAACTTCTGTAGAAGGCCACAAAGCTGCAGAGCTGACTGCCCTGAGCTGACTGGCCTTCTACAATTCCTGGTGTCAGTGTATGCCAGCTCTGCATCCACAGGTTAATAAAGTCTTTACTGCTATGCCAATAGGCAGCCTGTAAATACAAGACGACATAACATTGGACTAGCACAGTGCAAGTCATACACTTTAAAATGAAGCCATCTTATGTAAGTGATGGCAGGTGCACCTTAAGCATGTCACTGTCAATAGATCGCTTCACGTAGGACTGTCTAACCCATGAAACATGTCACCGTCAATAGATCGCTTCACGTAGGACTGTCTAACCCATGAAACATGTCACCGTCAATAGATCGCTTCACGTAGGACTGTCTAACCCATGAGACATGTCACCGTCAATAGATCGCTTCACGTAGGACTGTCTAACCCATGAAACATGTCACCGTCAATAGATCGCTTCACGTAGGACTGTCTAACCGATGAGACATGTCACCGTCAATAGATCGCTTCACGTAGGACTGTCTAACCCATGAGACATGTCACCGTCAATAGATCGCTTCACGTAGGACTGTCTAACCCATGAGACATGTCACCGTCAATAGATCGCTTCACGTAGGACTGTCTAACCCATGAGACATGTCACCGTCAATAGATCGCTTCACATAGGACTGTCTAACCCATGAGACATGTCACCGTCAATAGATCGCTTCACGTAGGACTGTCTAACCCATGAGACATGTCACCGTCAATAGATCGCTTCACGTAGGACTGTCTAACCCATGAGACATGTCACCGTCAATAGATCGCTTCACGTAGGACTGTCTAACCCATGAGACATGTCACCGTCAATAGATCGCTTCACGTAGGACTGTCTAACCCATGAGACATGTCACTGTCAATAGATCGCTTCAGGTAGGACTGTCTAACCCATGAGACATGTCACCGTCAATAGATCGCTTCACGTAGGACTGTCTAACCCATGAAACATGTCACCGTCAATAGATCGCTTCACGTAGGACTGTCTAACCCATGAGACATGTCACCGTCAATAGATCGCTTCACGTAGGACTGTCTAACCCATGAAACATGTCACCGTCAATAGATCGCTTCACGTAGGACTGTCTAACCCATGAGACATGTCACCGTCAATAGATACTTCCGCGTGGGACTGTCTAACCCATGAGACATTCACCGTCAATGGGACGTGGGACTGTCTAACCCATGAGACATGTCACCGTCAATAGATCGCTTCACGTAGGACTGTCTAACCCATGAGACATGTCACCGTCAATAGATCGCTTCACGTAGGACTGTCTAACCCATGAGACATGTCACCGTCAATAGATCGCTTCACGTAGGACTGTCTAACCCATGAGACATGTCACCGTCAATAGATCGCTTCACGTAGGACTGTCTAACCCATGAGACATGTCACTGTCAATAGATCGCTTCACGTAGGACTGTCTAACCCATGAGACATGTCACCGTCAATAGATCGCTTCACGTAGGACTGTCTAACCCATGAGACATGTCACCGTCAATAGATCGCTTCACGTAGGACTGTCTAACCCATGAGACATGTCACCGTCAATAGATCGCTTCACGTAGGACTGTCTAACCCATGAGACATGTCACCGTCAATAGATCGCTTCACGTAGGACTGTCTAACCCATGAGACATGTCACTGTCAATAGATCGCTTCACGTAGGACTGTCTAACCCATGAGACATGTCACTGTCAATAGATCGCTTCACGTAGGACTGTCTAACCCATGAGACATGTCACTGTCAATAGATCGCTTCACGTAGGACTGTCTAACCCATGAGACATGTCACTGTCAATAGATCGCTTCACGTAGGACTGTCTCCAAGCTATGAGACATGTCACTGTCAATAGATCACGTCAGGTAAGACTGTCTCTAACCCGTGAGACAGGTCACGGTCCTTAGATCGCTTCATGAAGAACTGTCTCTTTAACCTATTAAACAGCAAGGCACTATACTCTGAAATCAGCTCTTAACTAGGTGGACACTGGAACACAACAATTAACAGAATCAGAACCAGTACACAAGGAAATAAAACTCAGGACAAAATACCTCTTTAATCGGTATGATTAAATACACTGCTGATAGAACGGCTACGATGACCATAACAGCTTCACTCAGAAGCAACGCTTTCTAATAAACAATTGGGCAGCATGACGGCAAGTCCTACAGCTTCTAAGCCCAGCCAGAGCGTTAGCGTGGGGATAGTTAGTGGATTTATTTATAAAATATTTTATCAGAAATGATACATTGGGATTTCCCTAGTTTTCAAGTATGTCCTGGATACCGAACGGAGGAACAACTGGCTGTGGGTCTGAAATCCATTTCTAAGGTAGTCTTAGTCTCTGCTTGGTATAAGGATATCAATAAACAATCGTAGCCAGCTAACTAAGCAGCGAACAGGTTAACGAGTAACAATAGATGACTGTGAAACTTCATCTCAAGGACCATGCTAAATACCAGACTGAATTACCATATGTTCCCAGATTCCGACACTGGGCCCAGGAGATGGGCAGGTACCTGAGGTGTAAGGGACGAACCAGCTGGCAGTCAGACCCAAAAATAGACATTCCTAAGCAGCTGCCCTCTCCAATAAACAAAACAAGGACGTGGATTAGCATGCGAGCAGCTAATTGCAATGTTTCTATTATCTTACAGGGTGGATGTCATCACAAGCCACAAAACCTGCAGCACGGAGACAAAAGTCAAGCACCACCAGCATGTTAAATGGGGATGTAAAAAGTACCATTTCCATCAAAACAGTACCCAGGCGGTACATCCCTCCTACACACAGGGTGACGGTTAGAGAGGCGTCTGCCCCATGAATCCAATGAGTGTAATTCATTCATTTTACAACGTTCCGCTAAGGCGGTTGTATTGGGCATAATGCGGTTAGCTTTAAATGCCCCACACGAGTGATTATACAGATTATATCTGGGCGTTCTGTAATGAAACATGACAGCGAGGTGTCCACATGCCATTTTAATCACTAGAAGCGTCATTCCAGGCTCACCTTGGGAAGTTCCCGCAGCTGGTTGGCATCTAATAGTAGCTCCTCCAGACTCCGGCTGTAGCGATATACCTCCTCTGGCACAGTCTGCAGGGAGCAATGTCGTTTGTCCACAGACTCCACATGGCGGTTACAGCGCCAGAGAGGGATACACTTTAACATGGTGGCGTGCCAGGTGGGCAAGCTCAGACTGCAGGAGGATATAAAGTGTGGGGCATAAGGAACAATTATGGGGTATGATATGTGAATGGTACTTTGGGGCAATGGAAAGATTTCACAGGGATTGAAAGATGTTTGAGTGGGTTAAATGGGTTACTGAATGGATAACTCAGATAAAGGGTGATTGTAATGAAGTTTCCGAGAGGGGTGACTGGGAAACATGTAAAGGAGGTATTGCTGGGAAATGGATTAAATGGGTATCAGAGGTTTAATAGTAGGTTAGAGACACAGGATGAATGGAAGGGGGTATCCGAGAGGGGTAAAAAGGGAAATGTAATAGAGGCAGTATCAAATTGGTTAATGGGATGCAGTAAATGTGGCATGTACAGAGGAGGATGGGTATTGAGGGGGTATGATGGCCGAGGGTAACATGGGGTGGGATATGATGGCCGAGGGTGAGGAGAAGAGGTGACTGGGGTATGGGGTGGGATGGGTAACTGGGAAGTTATGGGGGTAGGTTGGGATTTGATGGAGGGGGTAGGTTAGGAAATGGGGGGATAGGTTGGGATATGGGGAGGCAGGGTAGGATATGGGGGTAGGTTGGGATTTGATTGGGGCGCAGGTTAGGATATGGGGGTGCAGGTAGGGATATGAGG